GTGTACGTGTTCCAGCCACTTCAAACAACAGCCTTTCTCCTCACCTTCCAACTGCCAGCGTGAGAGGGTGCCTGTGTTACCCAAGTTCATCAACTAGGGGACTGTTTTTTTTTTTTTTTTTTTTAACGCCTTCACTAACTCGGCTGGAGTGTAATTCAGATGGTGGACTGTTTGCCTAGCATGCACAAAGCCCCGGGTTCTATTCCCAGCACCTCAAAAGCCAAGTGCAATCCTTGTAATCCCAGCGCTCAGGAGGTGGAGCCAGGAGGATCAGAAGATCAAGGTCATCTTCAGCTATGTATCGAATTTGAGGTTAGCCTGCGCTATGCAAGATCTTATCTCAAAAACAAAACAAAACAAACAACAACAACAAAAAACCCCAACCAAAAACCAGTAGCTGAAGAGGCCACACCTCAGCAGTCAAGAAGAGCTCGCTGCCCTTGCAAAGGGCTCTGATTCGATTCCCAGCCCCGATGTGGCTGCTCACAACTGTCTGGAACTCTAGTTCCAGGGGCTCTGGGGTGTCTTCCGACCTCCAGGGACTCCTGGAAACATGTGGTGCACAGATACATACTCAGGCACTCATGTGCACATGCAGAGTGAGTGAGTGAGTGAGTGAGTGTGTGTGTGTGTGTGTGAGAGAGAGAGAGAGAGAGAGAGAGAGAGAGAGAGAGAGAGAGAGAGAGAGAGGAGAGAATAAATAAATACTAAAACAAGACAAGAAGCCCTCACTAATTAATCATCCATCTTTGAGCTTGTCAGTTTAACACTGAGAGGCTCACTCACACATCACAGGGTATGATAAATTGATAAATGCCGGAGAATGTGAGCTTCAATGCCTGCAGTCACTCCAGCAAAGACCTAGGGACCACAGGGGAATTGTGGGGTGAATGAAGGTACCTGGATGCTGGACCTCAAGACTCACAGGTCAAAAGCAGCCTTCCCTAGCCCAGATAGTTTTATAGACCAGGATGGTGGTGCTAATGTGCATTCAAATAATTCAAAATTAACCAAAGGATACATTGGTAAAATTTACCAACAATGTTATTTTCTTGAGTTGATATTCCTATGTAGCCTAAGATAGCCTTAAAAACAGGATCCTCCTGCCTCAGCCTCCTGAGTTCTGGGATTATAGGCATGCATCACCTGCCTGGATTTAAGATACTCATAGAAAACAGGAGAGGGGAAAAGGAGCTTGCACTCCAGGTGTTAGGTTTCAGTGTTGGGGCTGGGGTGAAACCAGTGGCTGGGAGCTTGCCTGGCATGCACGAGGCCCTGGGCTCCATCCTCAGGACTGTGGTGATGTAGATGGTGTTTATCTGATTTAAGGATGAATAGTGAGGCAAGCTCTAAACGAAAAATAGAAGTAGATATTAACATTCTGTAAACCACAAAGCAATATGAGCAAAAGTTGAAGCTGTCTGATAAGAAAGAACAATAGGAGCAGGATCAGTTCCTCATCTGTACTCACTCTTTTAACCTTTGCTGGGTGCTGCTGGGAGGGGGCACTGCTATGAACGTCGGGGATTCAAAAACACTCGAATACTTAAAAGATAAGCGTCTCGGGGCAGATGAAAATGTAAGCAGTTTCCAAAAGGAAAGATTAAAAATGTCCAATAAGCACAGATTAAAAAAAAAAGTAACCTTCCACCCTAAGAATTTACTCAATGGTGAGAAATATTTTTCCCTCAAAAATCACTTCAAAATTCTAGAGCAACCAGCATAGCAGCACCTTTCTTTAGTTCCTCTGATCAATACGGTTGATTTAATTTAATGACCTGGGAAGCAGAGGCAGGACCACATGGTGGAACGAGAGAACCGACTTCCCCAAGTTCTCATCTGACCTCTGTAATGTGCACCGCGGCACATGCATGCCCAGTGCCCCCATAAAACAAATAATAATAATCTGTTAACAGATTGTGTGTGTCTAACGCACTTAGTGTTCATGTTGCAGCATGTATCAGTTTGAAGGACTGAATGCGTATGAGACATTTTGGAAGAGTGAATTGTGTATTGTTAGCTGTGAGAAGGAAGGAATCTTCTATTTCTGTTTTTTTTTTTTTTACCAATTTTTCATTTTTATTTGGTTTTTCAAGAGAAGGTCTGGAGTACCCTAGGTTGTTCTCAAAGTTGCTATGCATCCAAGGATAACTTTGAACTCCTTGACCCTCCTGCCTCCACCACCAAAGTGCTAGATTTACAGCGTGCACCACTATGCCGCCTGGTTTAGGCGGTGCCGGGGGTGGAACCCAGGGCTTCAGCCATGCTAGGCAGCATCCTACCTTTGAACTACATCCCTAGCCCCACTTATGTTTCTTAATTTTTAAATTTTGCTATGACAGGTCCTGTGTCTGAAAATAGGGAGGGTGTTTTAGAAAGTGACTATATCCCATTAAAAAGTGCATTGCATGCCATTAAGCACACGAACACCCGGTAAACAATGCGGGGGAACGGCACAACACCATGATTAAGATCTGGAGCCTTAATTTGATTCTTTTCAGTATTTTAACTTTTTATATGACAAGTATGGTAGCTTTTTTATAGCTACTATAGGCGGCACATGCTTTTAAACCCAGCCATCAGGAGGTAGAGACAAGCGGATCTCTGTGAGTTTGAAGTAAGTCTGGTCTACATAGCAAGTTCCAGGCCAGCCAGGGCTACACAATGAGACCCTGTTTTTAAATACATAAAATCTATAAAATATCTTTACAACCCCAAGGCTCAATGTATCTTCCTTCAACCTCTACACACTTTCTTAGGTGAAGTGGTTCTGAATCATAAGCAGTGGTTGCAAATGTCCATCTGCATGCAGGGGGGGGGGGCAGTACAATGAACGATCACGGTTTGACCCAGTGGTTCTCACCTTCCCAGTGCTGCAGCCCTTTAATACAGTCCTCATGCTGTGGTGACCCCCAACCAGAAAATTATTTTCGTTGCTACTTCATAACTGTCGTTTTGCTGCTGTTAAGAATTATAATGTAAATATCTGATTTACAGGATATTCGGTATTTGACCCCTGTGAAAGGGTCGTGACTCACAGGTTGAGAACCCACTGGTTTAACCTCCTTTCCAGACTCTGGATAGTCTGTATGTGACTGATGAATAAATATAAATAAAAGCAAAAACCAAAACCCCACATTGAGCAAGTAATTGACTATGTAATGTGCTCCACTCTGGGAAAGCCTCAGCAATTTTGTTTTCTTCTCTTCTCTTTTCTTTTCCTCTCTCTCTCTCCCTCTCCCTCTCTCCCTTTCTCTGTTTCTTTTTCCCCGGAGACAGGGTTTCTCCATGTAGTTCTGGCTGTCCTGGAACTCACCCTGTAAACCAGGCTGGCCCCAAACTTAGAGCCAGCCTCCTGCCTCTGCTCCCCAAGTGCTGGGATTAAAGGTGTGTGCTACCACCGTCCGGCTTCATTTTTCTTTTCTAATCACACAAAATAACATATTTTTAAAGGTACATATGTAACCAAACAAAAAAGTGTATTTACCTTTGATATGGAAAAAATGTAAACACAAAACTGAAATTTGTCAGGTAATTCTTTTTTCTCTATGTCTTTTTCCCTTGTCTTTTGACTTTTAAAAAATAAAATCTGTTTTATTTTTGATGGTGTCATCGACTGTAACTGTAAGCTGCAGTGAGCTCGTGAGTGCCCCGGCCATGTCACGCCCAGAAGACAGCGTAGCGCCACTCTCCTCTCCATCCTTCAGTTCTTGCATTCCTTCTCTTCCTCTTTGGCAATGTCCCCTGAATCTCCAGGGAAGGGTTTGATGTCCATGTCCTGTTTGGAGATGAGCACTGTGACCAGCTATGAGTCTCTGCATTGGCTGCTGCCTACTGCAGAGAGAAGCTTCTCTGAGCAGCGCTGAGGACAGCACTAATCTACGGATACAAACACGAGCATTCAGTCAGAAAGCAGTTTGACAGTGTGTCCATTTAGCAAGACAAAAGTAGTAGGTTCTCCCTGGGATCGGCAGTTTCTTATCCAGTGAAGACACATTTACCATATTGCACTAACAGGTGAGGGCATTTGCTCAAGAGAAATGAAATCTCATGTTCTACAGGCTGGAAGGGGGTGTTGGATCCCCTGAAGCTGGACCTACATGTGGCTGTGAGTCTCCTAATGTGAGTGCTGCGAACATCAATTAGATCCTCTAGAACAGGAGGTGCTCATGACCACTGAACCACCTCCCGAACCCCCTAGCTGTCCGCTTAAAGTGGATGCATTTTATTGCATGTAAGTTATATATCAGCCAAGGTGATTTTTAAAAATTGTTTTCCAGTGTAGGGCCAGCTACATAATTAAGATGGCTGTAGAACAGGAAATGCAGCCAGGAAGCAGGGGTAGAGTGAAGCAGTCAGCACAGGTTCTGTGCCCATGCTGGCCCTGGTGCTGTGTGCTGATTCTGGTACCTTGTTCGTGTGCGTGTGCGTGTGCGTGTGCGTGTGCGTGTGCGTGTGCGTGTGCGTGTGCGTGTGTGTGTGTGTGTGTGTGTGTGTGAGAGAGAGAGAGAGAGAGAGAGAGAGAGAGAGAGAGAGAGAGCATACTTGATATAATGCAGTTTTTCCATCCATGCTTAGCTTACCTCATTTTTTAGCTTGTTGATGGCGTGCTGGGTTCCCTCTCCCAGCGAGTCAGTCAGGCCCCCATCTATAACTCCCCACAGAACATTTCACAGGGCCTCGACATTCCAATTAGCCCATCTCCCCACCAAACTTTAGGGTGTTTTCTGTTTCTCACCATTATCAACACTCACCTTCCCACACATCCTCCCTCTCAAAAACCTAAAAAGAAAGAAAGATAAAAGGCTCCGTGAAAGGAGTGGATTGAGAGTTCAGGGAGACACGAACTTCAGTGATGTGCTGATGGACAGGGGTGGGCATCAGAGTTCTACCCCACTGAGTTTATTTTAAAAGAATGACATAAGTTTTCTGGGTGTTGGAGTTCTGTCCCACCGAGTTTATTTTAGAAGGATGATGTAAGTTTTCTTTTAAAATTTCAGTCTTGAAAATATGACATTGGACGCGAGTTATGAATCACATCCTGCTTCAACAAACCTTTGACGAGATGAGACGTTGTAGAAAACAGCTTCACCATGTGAGGGCCTAATGTGCAGCTTGCTGTCAATCATTCCCGGAGACCAGAGCCATGTGCCTTCCAGCAAAGCTTCTATCTTTTCAAGAGGTGGAGCAAAAGACTGATGATCACATCCACATGATGTGAAATTCATTCTTTTTTAAGAGTCCTAGATAAACTGGGTTAGGATAAGTGTTATTGCAAGGACTTCAGTGACAGCTTTTTATGTTACAAGGGCCGAATCGATTGCTGCATCAATGTCCGTATAGCCATCAAATCCTAAGGTGTTTACTAGTCATGGGGCCCTGCTCCAGACAATGGCTAAATCTGAAAAAGTACATCATTTGGACAACGTGATCTCTGAGCTGTGTTTCAGCTCTAAGAATTTAAGAACTCTGAGGAAGCAGTTCATGCTCAGGTATGCATGACTGGTACCTGCCAGGAGAAGTCATCTTTTAGAATGACTCTTGAGAAGGCAGGCATCTTAATAAAGACAGACCAGGGACTAATGGCAGCTCAGTCAGCAGTGTGGTTGGCTGTGGACACTTTGGTGAAGGAGCTCTTCCCGGAACTGTCAGCTTCAGTGTTGGTGGCAGAGAGACAAAAGTTTGTATAAACCCACCGGTGGCGCACGCCTTTAATCCCAGCATTCGGGAGGCAGAGCCAGGCGGATCTCTTTGAGTTCGAGGCCAACCTGGTCTACAAAGTGAGTTCCAGGAAAGGCGCAAAGCTACACAGAGAAACCCTGTCTCGAAAAACCAAAAGAAAAAAAAAAGTTTGTATAAACCCATCTGTTCACTTACAAACACCCACCGGTGTCCCTAGATGCTTCTCACGGCCCCTTCCTGGGTTACAAACTGCCTGGACCCGTAGAAGTCTCAGGGAAGGCCAGGCACAGCAAGCTGGAAGAGTGCTATACCCATGACAGCCTCACCCTGGTGCAAGTCTTAAGGACTGTGGTGGCACATATGTTTGTCACCCACTCTGTGGTCAACTTGAGCAATTTAGTGAGGCTCTGTTTCCAAAAACACAAAAATGTAAAAAATTAAGGAAAAGACATGCTTGTCTGGCGTGGGTGGGGCCATGGGTTCATCCTCAGCATCGCAAGACAAAAGTTCATCTATAGATCAGATTGGCCTCAGGGCTGCCAGCTTGGGGCCTTAGGGAGGTAACAGCCCGTACTGTGGACTCGTGTCTTAGCCACAGCCTGTGTGACTCTCTCAGCATCAATGACCTCATCTCCAAAGTTGGGCAAGGTCCTGGACTTTGCCAGCAATCCTTGGGCCCCAGTCCCTGCTTTGGTGAGAGGAGAGGGTTATGAGTGTGAGGGCCAGTCCTTACAATGCTGCTTTTCTCTTGGTTGGGCACCTTGGTAATGGTTTCTGATGATGCTGAGGTGAAGTTGGGTCTGGTAGCTACAAAGCCCTGATGGCAGCTCCATCCTTCAGTCATGCCTGGAAGTGAGGGCTGGACCATCTGGGTTTTGTGCCAATAAGCACTCTCCCCTTGACTGTGTAGATGCTGCCAAAGGTCCCTTTGTAACTCCCCACCCCCAAGGAAGCCTCTCAGACCGGAGGTGTACTGAACCTCCAGATCCAGATCCTGGGGAGGGGGTGGCTGCTGAGATGGTGGTGACGATAAACTTTGTTGCAAGACACATCAAGCGTTGCTTTCTGGTTTTTGTGTGGGTGCTGTCCTGGTGGAGGAGAATCAGATGTCCTTGAATGGATGTAGAAGAGTCTTGCCCCACCCTTGGCGCCTGACACGGAAGAGACACTAACGGTAGAGAAGAGGTCTCAGACGCAGTCTGGGCTGGGTTGGAGTCTTCTTGGGGCTCATAGCAATGGCTGCCACTGAGGGCTGTCACATGAGGTAATGGAGCAAGTGAGGGATAGCAAGGATGAGGAGCCCTTGAACGTGAGCAGGTTACATACTCGTAAACTGAATGAAAACGGTGAAGAGTGTGGGAGCAGAGGGGTGGCTTCCGTTCTGTATGAATATAGTACAAAAACCATTTCTCAGCTGGGTATGGTGGTGCAGGCCTGTCATCCCAGCACGTAGTAGGCCAAGTCAGGAAGAGCATGAGTTAGAGGCTAGCCTGGGCTAAGTAGTGAGCTCCTGTCCCTGCCCCCATTTCTCTCTGCCTTTGAGATAGTAACTTATGATTCCCACACTGCTCCTTGGAGGCCTCACTTCTAATTACTTTGCATTGGTTCAACTTGCTTAATTAAAAAGTGATGAACTCGGGGACCTTCTTGTTCAGAGATGTCCCTCCCAGCTCTGGTGGAGCCTGAGCACATATATCCTGGGGGACACTCCAGGGTGATATCAGCAAACTAAGAAGGGGGCAGGAAGGCGATGGGGTATGATGACGCTGGGTTTTTGTTTTAAATTGGGGCAGGAATGAAGGAAGGCAGTGACACCCATCTGCAACTTTTGAGAAGCCTTTGTGGGACGCAGATGTTCAGGTGGAAGGGTAGCCTATTTATAGAAACACACGTCAAAGGAAGAAACAAACCTGCTTCTCGAACACAGACAATTAACCCAAGAGCTTCCCCGGCTGCACCTCCAGCGGGATCGATGCCTTGGAGGTCACGCAGACCTGGGCAGCCCCACATGGAGACTAGTCTGGGTTCTCTATGCCATCCCTTCCCTGTGGGTGATGAGGGTACCTCGGGGCTGGGTGGGGGCAGTTTTCTGAGCGTTCCACTGAGTGAGCTGGCCGCTGCCAGCTCAGCTCAGCTTTCACTGAGTTGGGGAGAGCGCTCCTCTGCCCCAACTGTGTCTCCGTTTGTCCTTATAGAGCAGGGATCTAAAAGTGCAGTTAGGGGGGTGGGTGGCAGGCAGGCCACAGTGTAGATGCCCTTTCATCTGCAGATGTGGGTGACTCAGGCGCAGCCACTCTAGAGCGGCTGTTCTGCCTGCCCCACCTTCTCAGGGGACCCCAAGACCATGCACTTAGGGTTCCACAAAGATCTCTTGGCCTTGGGAGCAGCTGAGGACTTAGCACCCCATCTCACCTCTCCAAGACATTCTGATAGACGCTGGGAACGGGGGGGGGCGCGGGTAGGGGGGCAGAAAGAATAAACAAGCCAACAGGCAAGCTCAGGCTTTGCTTCTCAAAAGTCTCTTGATCTTTTTTCTCTTCTTTCTTTTTTTTGAGACAGGGTCTCACTACATAGCTCAGGCAGACCTCCAACTCACTGTCTTCCTGCCTCCTGCCTCAGCCTCTTGAGTGCTGGGGTTGTAGGTGTGCACCACTGTGCCTAGCAATAATTTATAATCTGAATGAAGAAAATGTCGAAATACAATACAAAATGATACACAGGATGGAATGATTGGGTGAATGGATGGTGGGGGGCAGGAGTCAGACTTCCCACTTTTGGCATGGGGGAGGGTTACAAAGGAAGAGAGGGCCAGAGTGATGCACACCGCATTGTGTTGATTATCATCGGGCATTAGTGTGCATTTAGGATGGCCTTTATGGAGCTGCACATGGAGATATATGGAAATGTTTATGGATTTGTACGTATACCTAAGTTGGCGCATGTACATGGATGCATGCATGCGCGCGCACACACACACACACACACACACTCACACACACACACTCACAAACACACACTTACTTCTTGATCAGTTGACATGACTTAAACCACTCTGCCCTAGTAACCATTGATCCCCAAGCACCCAGACCTTGTTTTCTGTTGTTCGCCAGCAAAAGCAAGCAGGCCTCTCTGGAGAAGTGGTCAGTTCTAAAGCTGGAGCATCTTTCTATTGTCCTGCTGTAGCAAAATACATGTAACATAGAACCTGCCATTCTTGACAGAGTCTCACACTGTAGCCCAGGCTTGTTGGGAGCATAGCACGGAGATCCTTGGACCCACAGATCTCCAGAGAAACCAGGAATGTTAAGCATACAGGATTGTCTTTCCAGTGGAAAAGATGAAAAGCCTGCTCTTCCATCCAGAAAACTGAGAACTGGAAGTGATTAATAGTCTGGTGAGCTACATCATCTGTTGGACTGGGCCATGTCAAGCTCCCATAACTAGGACCAGAATAGACTAATAGTCCAAATGACCTCTATGCTATCTGTATGACTGAGACCAGACCAGACTCTTCCTCAAGCCCTTAAGCTAGTACAGGTAGCCTCTCTAGAACCCATCTTCTTGGAAGAAATGACCTGTACCCTGAGTTGAGTTTCAATGTAATTACACTTCCTTGTACGCTGAGGATTGTATTACACCTCCTCCTAGATTATAAGGGTCTTAAATATGTTGGGAGTGAACCACCCGATAGAAGTCTTGATCCAGGTTGCTGAAGTCAATCTGAACTGAGTTTTTTCTTTTCTTTCTTTCTTTTTTTTTTTCTTTCTTTCTTTTTTTTTTTTTTCTGAGACAGGGTTTTTCTGTGTTGTTTTGTTTCCTGTCCAGGTTCTTGCTCTGTAGACCAGGCTTGCCTCAAACTCACAGAGATCTGCCTGCCTCTGCCTCCCGGGTGCTGGGATTAAAGGCATGCGCCACCACCGATTGGCCTGAACTGAATTTTCATTTTCTTCTCTTCATGTTTCCTTCTCTGACATCTGCGGAGACCTCCTCAAAAGCTGGCCTCAGACTACTGTTTATTCTCCTGCTGAGAATATTCTCCAAGTGCTGGCAGTACAACCACCAGGCCTGGCCAAAATCTAACTTCTTAAAATATTATTTTTTTTAAACACTTATTTCTTTTGTGTTGGGGGCAGGCTTGTGTCATGGCGCTTGTGTGGAGGTCAGAGGTCAGCTAGTGAGAGTCAGTTCTCTTCTTCCACCGTGTGGGTTCTGAGGAGCGAGCTCAGGTCGTGAGGCATGGCGGCCAGCACCTCTGTTCACTGACTCACCTCAGCGGCCCAGTCTTAAACCTGGCTAAGTGTGCAGTTCAGGGACATTAACTATGCTTGCAATTACCTGCAACCATGACTGCTGGTCATCCTCTGGAGAACTGAAACCGTGTCTGTCAATCAGCTCTCCCCACACACCCTGGGAAGCCACCAGCCGCGGCACCTGCCCCTGGATCCTCCCTCTGCTGTTAGTGATCTTAAGCCTCCCAAAGGCGTTTGCCTTTTCCTGTCTTGTCATCCATTTCTCCTACCCTGGTGTCTTCCAGGTTCACATAATTGAAGCATTTGTTCAAATCCCCTCCCCTTTGAAAGCCGGAAGCATTTGGTGGGGCCTGAGCATCTAATTCAAAGAAACCTGCATGGTATGTAAAACTGTCCGAAACACCAAAGGGTTTAGAGCCTTTGTGCAGAAGCTCTGCTTATACAGATGGACGTGGAATGGAATCCCCACTGTGGGCTGTGAACAGCTAGGTCCTTCCAGAATGTTCCAAGCAAACGGGACTGGAAAACCATAGCTTCACAGTGGAGAAAGCTGATGGAGGCCACTCGGGCAGGCACACAGGTGAACATCTGCCGTGGTGACCGATTGTGTATGCTGCTGGCAGGTTGAAGATGGCAGTCATCTCTTGGTCTTGGACCAAGGCTCTTGGGGAAGGGATTGCAGAGAGTGATCAGATGGATTTGCTATTAGCCTTGAATTCTCCACCCCCTCCTCAGCTCTCAAGTGCTGAGGTTATAGGCTTGTACCACCATACTTGACTGCTATTAATTCTTGCAATTGTGATAAATTCATGTTGCTTATGCAAGTGGGTCATAACAAGGAGTAAGCCCAGTGTATAGGGAAATTCTCTGTACCATCTATGAAAGTATTAAAATAATTTTTTAAAAAAGTGTTTTAGAAGGAACTATGGCTGGAGGCAGATGGAGAGAAAGCTGCGATGGTGGGCAGAAGGGAGCGGAGCCAGCTGGGGCCAGGAGTCAGGGCAGACTTCAGAAGCTCAGTTTCCTTGGGTGTGACATGCATGGTGGCGGCGGTGGGGGACAGGGTGGGAGTGGGCTACCCCCTTGTCTCCTGGCTCTGATGGCTTCCTCTCTTCCTCCCCAGCTCTGAGCTACTCTCGCTCTGCATCCACTCCTGGGATACCTGCTAGCCCTCAGGTCGACACCCTCAACTTCTGGGGCCCCAGGAGTGTGGGATTCAGAGAGGCCAGTTCACTGAAGACCCAGCTCCACTGCCGGGATGCCTTGCCTTTCTGAGGACATGGTCCCTGTCTAATGTCTCGTGGAACTGGTGCTTATGACCCTGCCAAGCATTCTAGAAGCCCACAGCCACGGGACAGGACTCTAGTGGAAAAGCAGTGCCCTGCATGTTTGCTTGTCTGTCTGTCTTTGAGACAGGGTCTCCTGTCACCCAGGCTGGTCTTGAATTCACTATGCAGCTCTGAATGATCTTGATCCTCCTGCCTCAGCCTCCCGAGTGTTGGGATGGCTGGTGTGTTTTCTAAAGCAAGAATATTTCTCTACAGACTCGAGCATACATTCAGAGCGTGAGACTGGATCCTGATTGCATCCTGTTATTAGGCCTGTAGACCTCACCCTGTTTGTGCCTGCCCATCATTGCCCAGCCGCCCCTCTCTGGCTCCTCTGACAGGAAGTTGCTCTCGAGTCTTTATATTCAGTCTTTCACGAAGCACATGTCAGCTGCTTCGCAAAATGTCAAAGATCCCCTTGAAAATAAATCGATTTTTATTTTATTTTCTGCAAGATGAGTTCATTTAAGGAAAAATCTATTAAGGGGACCAGAGGAACAAGCAGTCCACAGATAAAAATCTTGAGGGCCCATGAGGAAAAATGAACTGAGGAAACACTTTGTTTCTCATTCTGCCCTGTGTTCTCACCTCACTGGGGTGGTTGACAGTGGGACAAAGAGCTGACATTAAGAATAGGAGCAGGGAGCCCACCCCAGGGAGCAGAGTGGGGTACTAGGTTCTCACCTAGGTGCTCTGGGGGGCAGGGATGTGCCCCAGATGGATGTGGGGTTAGGTGGACTTAACCAAGCCAGCTGTGACATCAGGCTTGGAGCCAGACAGAGAGGGAGCGGAGTAGGGACAGGCAGTTCCAGGAACCCCTGGCAGGGGCACTCGGGACACTCGGGGTCTTCACAGGCCAGGGCCCAGAGCCAGTGTCTCTGCCATCACCCTCACTAGAGAGCTCTCTACCGCCAGAGCCTCGGCAGCTCCCATGAACAGGGCAGCCTGGCTGCTGTGATTGTACACTAGCTGTCCCACTGTGTGTGTGTGTGTGTGTGTGTGTGTGTGTGTGTGTGTGT